AGGTTTTTGTCTTGTTTAATGTCTACTCTAGCCCCGGGTTCCTGGGGACATTTACCTAGATGAGAAAAGGCCAGTGGCTCAGACTTTTGAATGTTTATTACTCATTTGAAATAAGAAATCAGGTTTGAAAATATTTTCCTAACTGTGGTGTATTCTTGCTAGTGACTTTTCACATGCTACTTGTTATTTATCAATTATGATTAGTATCGATACTGCTGGTAATGACATTTTAGCAAAAGCACTAAAGATATGTAGAAAAAGAGTAGAAACCCAAATAAAAGCAGCTGCTGTTTCAACAATTACCTAGAAGAGAGAAGGAGGGTTGACATATTAAAATGAAAATCATACATGGCTGGCAACTAAGTCAGAAATTCAGCTGTTTACTTTTCTCCCCACGGCAAATGTTTTTTATCTCTTTAAAACTTTTTATTTATTGATTTGCTTAGAAACAGGATCTCATTTTGTCACCCAGGTGAGGTGATACAGTGGCATAATCATAACTCACTGTGACCTTGAACTCCTGGACTCAGGGGATGATCCCACCTCAGCCTCCCAAAATGCTAGCGTTACAGCAGTGAGCAACTGCGTCTGACCTCTTTTATCTCTTTAAAAGGCAACCAAGCATTTGGATAAAATATATCAGTAATATATATAAATTATTCTGAACCCCCATTACATTCTGATGTCTTAATCACTTCAACATTACTATTTCTGGTTTGATATCTGTGGTAAGCTGAAAAAAAACAGCTCCTCCGGCCGGATCTCTGTCACAGCCCAACCCTCAGTGGAGTGACAGGGTTACTATCTGGGTCAAATCCCTCGAATCTGTTAATGTTTCCTTATTTGGAAAACGGTCTTTGCAGCTACAGGTAAGAATCTTAAGATGAGAAAATCATCCTGGATTACTGGGGTGAGCACTAAATCTAATGATAAATGTCCTCATAAGAGAGACATAAGAAATTTAATAGACGAGGAGGAAGTCACGTGACCATGAAAACAGATATTGGAGTGATGTGGCCAGGAGTCAGGGAATGTTGGCAACCACCAAAACTCAACGAGGCAAAGAGTACATTTCCCCCTAGAGCTTCCAGAGCGAGTGTAGCCCTGCCGACACCTTGATTTCACACCTGAACTGTGAGTGTATAAATTTCAGTTGTTTTAAACCACCCAATTTGTAGTAATTTGTTACAGTAGCCATGAGAAATTAATACAATACCTACAAGAAATCATAACTCAATCAGGGCCAGGTGCGATGGCTTACACCTATAATCCCAACACTCTGGAAGGCCAAGGTGGGTGGATAACTTAAGGTCAGGAGTTCGAGACCAGCCTGGCCAACATGGTGAAACCCTGTCTGTACTAAAAACACAAAAATTATTTGGTGGCACACGCCTGTAATCCCAGCTACTCAGATGGCTTTGGCACAAGAATCTCTTGAATCTGGGAAGTGGAGGTTTCAGTGAGCTGAGATCGCACCACTGCACTGCAGCCTGGGCGACAGAGTAAGACTCTGTCTCAAAAAAAAAAAAAAAAAAAAAAAAAAGAACCTCAATGAGGACTGAAATAAATGTCCATTATTATTTTTACTTGCCCATCATCCACTCTCCCTTCTTCTGCTAATAGCCCAGGTTTCCTTTTGACATCTACCCTCTGCCGCTCTCAGCCTGTGTGGGTTGGGTACGCTGGCCCCACCTTTACTGTCACTCCATTGAGGGTTGGGCTGTGACAGAGATCCAGCCAAGAGATCGGACAATTCTCCATTCCCCTGGTTCAGGAAAGGACACAGGGCTCAGACGAGACCAATGAGACTGTTTTTTAAAGATCCCAAAATTATCAGGAGGAAGCCCTTTTTCTCTTGCATTTGAAGGTGGCAGATGTTGTGTCACTGCTGCTGGGGTCCTCATGTGGACAGAGCCTGCCTGAAAGTGAAACCAACACAGGAGAAAGTGAAGCCAGAAGGCAGAGTGAGACTGGGTCCTCCTTGTATCCTGGGAGCCCTGGGATTCAGCTTGCCAGGGAGTCTCCACCCCTGAAATTCCAGCTATAGGTGCCAATAAACCCCTTATTTCCTTCAGTTGGTTTGAGCTGGGTTTCTGCCCCTAACAAATGAAAAAGCCCTGACAGATACAAAAGTCACAAAAAAAGGCTTTTGTGTGTAATGGGAAAACCAAAGAGATAATCATGTGTTTCTGGTGACTCATAAATAGGAGCTCTTCTGTTCTGAGAAAGCCACAATTTTAGATCAAGAAAGCGTTTTAGTGACCATCTACTCCAAAAAAACACATTTTCCCCACCGAAGATACTAGAGAATTCAAGGAAGTACCCAGAATTGTGGCAATTCCACAATAGAGTTAGGACCAGAACTCAAGTCTCCTGAAAACCTGATCAGTAGGAACTTCACACTGAGACATTTGCTACGTCATTTAAACATACTTGGCCAAGAGACTCACAGAGTTACAAGAAGATCGTAACATATTCCTTTGGGCTATAAAAGAATAACTACAACAGCAATCTGTGCTGAGGGCTGGTGTTTAATAGTTATGCTCACCTACAGGTGAGGCCACTAGCCACTGATGATTGTCTTCCAAGAACCAGGAAGCAAAGGAAAGGAAGGCAATAGCCATCTCTGCCAGCATTCGAGATATGGCCGTGTAAATATGCAAGGGCCCAGACAGACTAGTTGCTTAATTAAAGTCATAACCTCTGTAAGGGCTTGAAAGAGAAGGTTCCATTATAAAAACTGCCATTCTAGTGCTAGCATCCAGAGGTTGGCAGAATTCTCAGGTTTCCCCACAACCAAGTATATGGAACTGCATTGGTCCCACAGATATTTATTAAGACCCTCTGTGGGCAAGGACAGAATGTCCCTCCCTTCACGGAGCTCATAAGCATGTGGTCTCAGAAGATAAGTCTATAGAGAGAAATGGAGAGAGTAAACAGAACAAAAGGACCACCGTGGATGCTGCTGTCTTACATGGGGTGTATTTTACAGAGGCTCAGTGAGAAGAATGACATTTGAACAAAGGCTTGTATTACAGGAGACAGCAAATCATGTGGACACCAGGGAAGCATGCTCTAGGCAGAGGAAATAGCAAGTGCAAAGATCTGGAGGCGGGAGCATCCTTAAAATGTTTGAGAAGTAGGCCGGGCGCGGTGGCTCAAGCCTGTAATCCCAGCACTGTGGGAGGCCGAGGCGGGTGGATCACGAGGTCAACAGATCGAGACCATCCTGGTCAACATGGTGAAACCCCGTCTCTACTAAAACTACAAAAAATTAGCTGGGCATGGTGGCGCGTGCCTGTAATCCCAGCTACTCAGGAGGCTGAGGCAGGAGAATTGCCTGAACCCGGGAGGCAGAGGTTGCGGTGAGCCGAGATCGTGCCATTGCACTCCAGCCTGGGTAACAAGAGCGAAACTCTGTCTCAAAAAAAAAAAAAAAAAAATGTTTGAGAAGTGACAAGGAGGCTGGTAAGGTGAATGAGGGAGGGACTAGGAGGGGATGAGGATGGAGGGTGGAGGGAGGCCAGGTCATTCCCAGCCATTGGAAGGCATTTTGCTTTTATTCCAAATGATACCGAAAATGGTTGGTTGGTTTTGAGTGCAGAAGTGACATGATCTTCAAGACGTCATGTTATTTAGAGGATCACTCTGGCTGCTGTTTGAAATAGGGGTGCAGCCGATTCTAGTTAGGAGGCTACTGTAATAATCTCCAAGCAAGACATGATGATGGCTTGGTTCAGGATGTCAGGTGGAGAAACAGCGAGAAATAGTAAGATTCTGGGTACCTTTTGAAGGTAGAACTGACAGGATTTGCTGATAGACTGTAATTGGGCTTAGAGGAAGAGGAGTCAGGATGATTCCAAGGGATGTGGCCTGCGCAGCTGGAAGGACAAAGCTCCTTCCCATTGACCGAGATGGTGGTAGACTGTGGGTAGAGCACGTGTGGCAAGGAGTTAGGGGATCAGACCTTCAGTTTTGAGCATGCTACGTTGGAGATGCCTATGAGATAGCCAAGCAGAGATGCCGGCAAGGTGCATGGATGTATAAGACTATTAGGTTGGTGCAAATGTAATTGCGGTTTTTGCCATTAAAAGCAATGACAAGGCTCGGCACAGTGGCTCACACCTGTAATCCCAGCACTTTGGGAGGCCTAGGTGGGTGTTTTGCCTGAGGTCAGGAGTTCAAGACCAGCCTGACCAACATGGAGAAACCCCATCTTTACTAAAAATACAAAATTAGCCAGGCGTGATGGCGCATGCCTGTAATCGTAGCTACTCAGGAGGTTGAGGCAGGAGAATCGCTTGAACCCGGGAGGTGGAAGTTGCAGTGAGCCAAGATTGTACCATTGCACTCCAGCCTGGGCAACAAGAGCAAAACTCCATCTCAAAAAAAAAGCAGTGGCAAAAACCGCATTTACATTTTCGCCAGCCAAATAGAAGACCACGGAGAAGAGATACACATTGGTACGCATTGGTATTTTTCGGTGATTAGACGGCATTACAGCCCTGAGGCTGTTTGAGATCACAAAGGAAATGAGTGTAGGTGGGGAGGAGACAGAGACGAAGGGCTGAGAACTGGGGCACTCCAAATTTCAGAGGTCAAGTTAATGAGAAAGAATCTGCAAAGGAGACTGAAGAACAAGCGACGGCAGCGCCCTGGAGGTGCGCCCTGTGTGTATTCACATCGCTCACAGGCAGAAGCGATGTGTGAGTGGTGCCCATGCTCCAGAAGGGCTGAGGTTAGGGTGGGTTCTGTCTGAGCAGGAAGCAACTTGTACTCCTGGTTGAAAGGGTGGAGAGACAGCCCAGGTGATTTTTAAGTTGGTCTGAGCACAGGCCTGGGAAGATGATCGTTTTGGCTAATAAGCCCTTGCTCTTCCGTGGAGAAGGGCGCTGAAATGTGCTTCCTGCAGCTCCATCTCTCAAAGCCTCTGCTCTGGCTTCTCCTGGGAATGATGCCAGCCCAAGATGGCTGGCTGACTTTTCCTGCCAGGATGTGTCATGGGGCAGAGAGCTGACACTGACGGTTCCCCAGAGGGGGATAGGAAGACTGAAATTGTCAGGGCAAGATACGGGCCTGGTGGAGCCCAGAGTAATGGCCCCCTAGTCCACCTGCTGACCTCTCTTCTCTGGGTCTCATCTTGACTTGACAGCTCTTTCTAGGTAGACAATGCTCTTTCAGTGCTGACTTTAATGTCTGTTCTGGGATTTTTCTAGAAAATGGCAGCTGGTACCGACTCTGGCATTTCCTGGGACTAACATAGCACTTTGGTTCAATTTAGTTCAATAAATGTAGAAGGCACAATTATGCCTCCATCTCAGCAAAAACTGTTTCTGCCTTCAGCCAATCAGCTTCTTCTTCTCTTGTCTCTGTCACCCACCAACCTGCTCTCCACTTGATGAGTGAAGGTCAGTCCTCTCCACTCATCAAGGACCTCAGCTCCCAGTTCAGCAGCTTCTTCTCGCTCCCATATCTTCCTCTCATTCTGTGTGATTTCAGCACTAATATGAATGAACTATCTGTCCAATGTCCTAACCTTACAATACCCTGATACCTTCAACTCCAGGGCTATTCACTCCACTCCAATTAGCTACTCACAGCCAAGACCACACCTTGGACTTTCTCACCACGAAGATTTGCTCCAGCCTGGAAGGTGTAAACTCTAATGTCCTACTTCCTGACAACAGTTTTGGTCCTTCTCATACTCTCATTCCTGTCTTCTCTTATATTTTTTTTAATGTTTATTTATGTATTTATTTTTGAGACGGAGTTTCACTCTTGTTGCCCAGGCTGGAGTACAGTGGCACGATCTCAGCTCACTGCAACCTTTGCCTCCCAGGTTCAAGTGATTCTCCTGCCTCAGGCCTCGAGTGTAGCTATGATTATAGGCACCCACCACCATGCCCAGATAATTTTTTGCTTTTTAGTACAGACAGGGTTTCATCATGTTGACAGGGTTGGTCTTGAACTCCTGACCTCAGATGACCCACCTGCCTCAGCCTCCCAAAGTGCAGGGATTCCAGGTATGAGCCACTGTGCCCAGCCCTTTCTTCTCTTTATACCTGCTCCTTGCCTTCTTCCTTCAGTACATTTCTTCCTGATCTATCAACCAAAGCCTCATTCTACTTCCTGCATTATTCAGTCCAGACTCATGGCCTGTCACTTCATCCTTGCTAATTGCCTTGTCCACTTGTCCTCAGCTGTATCCACACTGCAAGACCCCACTCTGGATTAATCCGTCTACTTTTTTGCTCCTGCCCAGAAAAATATCAAGCCACTGTAGGAATTAAGTTGATTCCATTTATCTCTTGCTGGGTCTACAGCTGCTCTCAGCAGCAGACCTCATCATTATTCCAAGAGAAAATAAAGGCAATCAGAAAAGAACGCCTTCCCTTCAGTCTTCCTAAGCCCACTGTTACAATCTTATCTCTATTTCTACCCATCTGTCTCTCTTTCCTCCTATCCAAAGCTAAACTTTACATGTTCCCAACCCTACAAGTGCCCATCCCTCACCAGCTTCCCAGAATCCTTACTCCATCACTTATCTCCTCCCCCCTATATTTTCAAGCTCTCCCTCACTTCTAGTTCTTCCCCTCAAGCCTATAACTAAGCTCAAAATTTCTACCGTAAGAGGAAAAAAAAAACCGAATAACCCAACCCCACTCTGGGATGGTGCCATTATCTAGACGCTCGTTACCAGATGACACATCGACACTCTCCTTCTTTTCACTTCAATCTTCTTAAATGAGTGAGCTGTTCACTTGGGATGTCTTATTCCTTGCTTCCCAGTTACTCACCATCTAGCTTATATCAACATAACTCCTTGAAATGGCTGAAACTATTCTCGCAATAGGCCCTTATGTCCAGGTTGCTAAATCCAACACTTTTCAGTTCCCATCCTGGGTGACCTCTCTGTCGCATATGATAGCCCTGGCTCTCCCCCTCCCCGCACTTCATGCCTCCTTTTGTGTCACCACCCTGCGCCCCAGCCATCCTGAAACCCTACAGTTCCTTGACTGTGCCCCTGTGCCTGTGGCTTCCTCGACCTGGAGAACTCTTCTCCATCCTGACCCTGTTTTCCAATTCTTCCAAAGGCAGCCCAGGACGGAGCCCTCGGTAAGGCTCCTGGTGTCCTGTGCTCGTCACTGCTATAGCACTCATAGCTGTGTAGGAATTGACTTTCCTACCTCCCATCACACTGAAACTCCTTGGAAGCAGGGTCTGTCTTTGAATCTACTTTTCTTTCTCCATTTGTTTCAGCAGCAGTAGACATAATTGACCACTCTCTCCTTCATGGGGCTTGTTTTTCTCTAGGCTTCCCTGATACCGCGTTCTCCTGGGTTACCTGCTACTTCACTGACTGTTTCTTCTTAAGGCCTTGGATGACTGCTCCTCCTCGACTTACCCTCAAAAGTTTCATATCCAAACTCCACCCTGAGCCCTTTCTCTGCTTTATGTACATACTCTCCCTAGGTAATCTCCCCCATTGTTTTCAATGCCATCCATATATCGCTAGCTCCCAGATTCCTATCTGAATCTAATCTCCCCATTGGGCTTCAGATGTGTATATACATTTGCCCACTCTATACCCATGTGAATGTTTAATCAGCATCTCAAACTTAATGGGGCCAAAGTAGAATTCTGTTCGAAAAATTTGTTCTCCCTGAGTCCTCTCTACCTCTGTATGTGGCACCAGCTACTCACCCCATTGCTTGGCCCAAAAACCTAAAAGAATGTGACCAACTATCCTGGTTTGTCTGGGACTTGTCCTGGTTTTAGCCCTGAAAGTCCCATGTCCCAGGAAACCCCTCAGTCTCAGGCAATCCGGGTTGGTTGGTCATTCTACTGAGGAGTCACCCTAGATTTCTTTCCTCACATTCCACATGCAGTCAATTTCACCTCCTTCCAGATACACCCCAAATCCTCCCCCTTTGCATTTCCACTGCCCCCTGGTCCAAGCCTCCTCCATGTCCTACATAGTCCAACTAAACAGGCTCTTCATCTGCCCCCCCTTCCTTCTCACTTGGCCCAATACATTTTTTTTACACAATAGCCAGAAGATCTTTGCAAAGAGAAAATGTGACTGTAGCACCCCACACTCTCACCAACTAATGCCCTACAATTACACAGAGAATAAATCCAAAGTTTTTTCCCATAGTCTACCCATGATCTGGCCCCTGTTGGCCCAGCCACTGTCATCTCATGGTTCTCTCCCACTTATTTATTTCCACTTAACCACTGCCTTCTTTCATCCCAGCTTCCCCCAGATCACCTTATGACCCACTCTCTCTACCACTCAGGCACATGGTCAAGGTCACCTCCTCAGTGGTACCTTCCCCAACTACTGTATCCAAAGATACCCTGCAAGTTTCTTCCTATCACCTCACTCTCTTCTATTGTCTTTAAAGCATATACTACAACCTGAAAGCTTCTTGGTATCTTATTTTTGTTTTCTGAGTCCACCATTTAAGGTGTAAGCTTCTTGAGAGCAGATAGAGACCTTGCCAGTCTTGTTCAAATCTGTGTTCCCAGCACTTGGCCCAGACCCTGGCCCACAGTAAGTGCTCAGTAAATATTTGATGAGTAAATGGATATTCAGCACATGGTACAGGACCTCTCACTGTACTCATAAATTAATAAATTATTGAGAAAACCAAGCTGTATGCTAGGCACTGGGTCCACCTTTATAACCTAAGATATACTTCTTTTTTACTTTATGGTCTACTAGGAAACAAATGTGTAAATCAACTTTTTAAACAAAATATACATAACAGTTTGAATATGATGGGGAGTAAGAAGTGGCATATTATTTTATTTTCTTAAGTAAAATGTGGCTGGGTGTGGGGGCTCACACCTGTAATCCCAGCATTTTAGGAGGCCAAGGGGGCTGGATCACTTGAAGCCAGGAGTTTGAGACCAGCCTGGGCAACAAAATAGAACCTCATTTCTTCAAAAGATTTTTTTAAATTAGCTGCAGTCCCAGCTACTTGGAAGGTTGAGGCTAGAAGATTACTCAAGCCCAGGAGTTGGAGGCTGCAGTGAGCTATGATTGTGCCACTGCACTCCAGCCAGGGTGACAGAGACCTCATCTCTAAAAAAAAATTACTAAATTAGAACTAAAGAAAACGTGATCTGCTGTGGGCCCTCATTCCACGGGGGTGGCAGCAGATTCAATCTCAGTCATTACGGGGCCTCTTCCCACAACCTCTACAGTCATAAGGAGGTCCCAGGAGTCCAAAAGATCCAGGAAGGGTCCTTTAGTCTTCAGCTCCATGTGCTCCTAACTCTAGCCTCTATCGTTCCGTAAAGAATTGGCTAGTTCTTGGCCAAACTAGGACTTGGGGAAAAAAGGATAGGTAAGAGAGGTTGAGGGGTTTTGTGGGAGCAAAGTTTTGATCCAAGCTACTGACAGGACCTCCCCAAAACTCCATACCATTTTCATCTCTGAAATTGCTTTGAACCTGCCTCTGGTCTGTGAATCCCACCTCTCTTTACCTAAGCCCTTCTCTTCTTTCCCTCCTCCCTTAGGACTGGCCTACAAAATTTCCCGTAGGTGGTCTACCTCACCGCTTCCTACAAATGAGAAAGTGCTCCAAATGGCCAGTTATCCATGTGAAACGGAACTCTTACATCTCCCTCCCCCACCGTGCTCCCCTTTCAGAATTTCCTATCTCAGTGAAAACATCACCTTCCTCCTTGTCACCAAGCCTAGGAAAGCTGACCCCTTTGTGGTTTCTCCTCCTCCTTCATCTAATAATCCCCTGAATCCTGCCAACTGTTACGCCTCCATGGTTCCCCCTTTCCACTCTAACCATGCCTTTGGTTGAGCTCATTACTGCATGCCTGTATTTGAACAAGAGCATTCTACTTGATTCTCTATTCTAGTTGCTCCTCAGTTCAATCCATCCACCAAATGATCCAAGAGCTATTCCAAAAGAACCAATTGGACCATGTCACTCCCACAATGGTTTGTCAACTTAGGTAGAATAAAACAGACCAATTTTGTCAGCATTCAAAGTAACTCTATCATTTAGACCCTACATAACAAACTCTATCCCCCACTATGCTTCTCTATCCCCCAGGGCCCCCACCCAACTTTGCCAGCCTATTAGTCATTTCCCCAGCGTGTTTCCTGTATCATTGCATTTCCACTTTTTCTCCAAAGCTATTTTTCCTACTTGAAATATCCTTTACTTTGCTACCCTTTAACTGCCTCATGTCCACAACATCCACCCAGTCAAGAGTACTCATTTGTTGGCCGGGCGCGGTGGCTCAAGCCTGTAATCCCAGCACTTTGGGAGGCCGAGGCGGGTGGATCACGAGGTCAAGAGATCGAGACCATCCTGGTCAACATGGTGAAACCCCGTCTCTACTAAAAATACAAAAAATTAGCTGGGCATGGTGGTGTGTGCCTGTAATCCCAGCTACTCAGGAGGCTGAGGCAGGAGAATTGCCTGAACCCAGGAGGTGGAGGTTGCGGTGAGCCGAGATCGTGCCATTGCATTCCAGCCTGGGTAACATGAGTGAAACTCCGTCTCAAAAAAAACAAAAAAACAAAAAAAACAAAACAAAAAAAAAGAGTACTCATTTGTTAAAGTCCAACTCTATCTAATCCAAAAAGAAGGAAGTAACATTTACCTAGAAAAGGAGAGAAGCGTTCTAATCAGAGGCATAGGCTCTGGAGCCAGACTGGGTTTCACTCCTAGTTCTCCGCCATTCCTTAGTTATATAACTTGGGCAGGTTACTAGGCTTCACGTCCCTCATCTGTAAATTGGGATATATGCTATAATACATGCGATGTGAGTATCTGATATTATGTGACAAATGTGGTGTAAGAACTTGTCATATATTACCTACTTTAATCCTCCCAACGACTCTGAGAGACATTATTATTCAAATTCTACAGACGGCCTCTTAAGACTCAAATAATTTACTTATAGCCATAAAGCTGGTGGAAATGGAAAGCTGGAATTCAAGCTCAAATCTGTCTGGACCAATGCCCAGGTTCTCTTTACAGCACTGGAAAAAGCACTAGGAAAGAACCAGAGAGGTCTAATCTCTTAAACTTACTGTTAGATATCTGAGTCGGTAAAAGAGAATGCATGCACTGGAAAGGAGCATAGAGAAACACAGGAACGTGAGGAAGTAATATTAATAATTAATAATATATAATAATTAATATATATATATAATTAATAATATATATAATAATTAATAATATAGTAATATCAGAGTCAAAGGCAGCTGGTAGACCAATGTGTAACCCCACAAGGCAAAAAAAAAAAAAAAAAGACAGGAAACATTGATATGAGCCCAACAGCAATATCAGACTTTGTTACTGGGAAAAGGTAAATGTGTTCCTAAAACAGTTAACTTGAGAAGACAGGTGTTACATCTAACATCTTAACTTTAGGGAGCCTAGCACAAAAGCAGGGACTTAAAGAGTTTAAAGAAGTCACTTGGCCAAGTGCACTGGCTCACACCTATAATCCTAGCACTTTGGGAGGGAGGCTGAGGCAGAGGACTGCTGGAGCCCAGGAGTTCAAGGTTATAGTAAGCCAGGATGGTGCTAATGCACTCCAGCCTGG